GTTTGAAAATATTATCCCCCTCCAACACCCCTTCTGAATTATAAGCACCCCCTCGAAAATTTTAAATAGCAAGGGATTTCAGTCCTCTGATCAGCAATATAAAGTTTTTTAAGTTTGGTGCAATCATAACTGAGAAAATTAATTTTTATAATTGAATTAAATGTTCAAAATGACCACCATTATTCACTTCTTGACAATAACCTGATCTATTAAAGAGACCATCCCTGTAATACGCTCCTTACTAACCTTGAATCCTGGAAAAAATCTTTGAAGATACTAACATATTAGAGAAAAAGCCAAATAAACAATTGATAGGAATCTAGTGGGCTGCTGTCATTTAGGTATTTAAAGTTACTAAAAGACGTCAGTATAATATTTGTGGGCGTATTAAATTTAATTATGGCTCATTTGTCCAAGAGTCAAAGAATAGACATTTTAATTATGATTGGTTCTGGTAATAAAACAAGAACTCAAAAGAAGGTTTGTGAAATTTTTAATAATAAATACCCTGGTCAACACGTGTCGCAGTCAACAGTTAGCAAAATTGAAAAAAAGTTTCGTGAAACTGGACATGTAAAAAATATTGGAAAACCAGGTAGAAATGTTCAATTTACTGATGAAAAAAAGTTAGATGTACTTCTAGAGATTGAGGAAAATCCGCATAAGACAACTCGAGAACTTGCCGCCGACAATAATGTAAGTAAATCATCTATTTTGAGAGTTCTGCATAAAGAAAAATACCACCCTTACAAAGTTCAGTTAGTTCAGGAGTTAAATGAAGATGATCCTGATACAAGGCAAGAATTCTGTGAATTGATGATGGACAGAATGAACGCAGATTTGCAGTTCATAAATAAAATAGTGTTTTGTGATGAAGCGACGTTTCATTTGAATGGAACAGTTAACAGACAGATAACAGTAGATATTGGAGCAGATAAAATCCACACTGGATGTGTGCGACTCACATTCAATATTCTAAAAAAGTTAACGATTGGGCTGGTATCATTAACAATAAAATTATTGGCACTGTTGATGGTGAGGTTTATCTAGATTTTTTGATTAACTTTTTAGTGCCTACATTACAAATACATTTTCCTGATGTTATTCATCCAAATGAGATAGATCGAACTATTTACTACCAACAAGACGGTGGTCCATCTCATTTTGCACGTATAGTTAGAAATTATTTAAACGAGGTTTTTCCCAATAGGTGGATTGGAAGACGTAGAACGATCGAATGGCCGGCTAGATCCCCCAATTTGACTCCTCTCGATTACTTCTTATGGGGTTATTTACAATCTAAAGTATATTTTAATAGACCAAACAATATTGCTGATTTGAAAGTTAGGATAACGGAAGAAATTAACAAAATAACCCCCGAGGTCATACAAAATGTTGTAGGTACGAGAATTCGAACATCGCCTCGGTTATTGTCAAGAAGTTATTGGTGGTCATTTTGAACATTTAATTTAATTGTAAAGTACATTGAAAAATACATTCTAAATATTATGTGGCATTATTATCTTCATTCTACGTAAAGTTTTGTTATACCTAGAGACATTATCAAAATTTCACATCCTAAAAATCAATTTTCTCAGTTATAATTGCACCAAACTTAAGAAACTTCATATTTCTGAACAGAGGACTAAAATCCCTTTCCAACAAGGTACCACACGACCCCCTTTGCTATTTAAAAATTTTGTGGGGGTTTAGTGAAGTATTGAGTGAAAGTCACTCAATGTGGTGTTTTTCAAATACGTTTTATTAGGTATGACAGATAATTATCACACTTTTTTTATGAATTAATGGAAATGTATCTTTATATAAAGAAATTTCAATCCGAAAAATGCATAAAAATTAATTTGTTCTCTTGATAAGCAACGAATGATTCTGGGCTGTAGATATTCAAATAAATCATATTCACGTAAATTGTTTTTCCCCATTTCAAGTACTTACCATTTTTAAGCAATTATGATTGATCGATTTTCCTATCAATTGATATCTTTTTATTTCAATCGATTCGTGGAATTTGAAACCAGTATTGTGAAGTACCCTTATGATGTCTGGAACAAAGTGACAATCTTCTTCAACAACGATGTGATGCTGATAGTGATTCGTCTTAATTGATGGAACATTTTGTTATCTATCACTTAATATAGATAAATGAATGATATCTTAATGAGTGTGTGCTATATTCCAACGAAAGACTAACTCATGACATCCCGCCTACAATTAACAACGCATTTTAGGAACTAAGTTTATTGTTGAAAATATGGTAAAATTTTCAGAAAATGTCAACCTGTTCAACACTAGAGTAATTCCCTCGCAATCAATGCATCGTCAGTCGCTTATAACCCTGGAAGTTGATGCGACTTTGAATAAAGTAAAAAAAATCATGGGGTTGGTCGAACACAGCGAAACATTTTCACAAAAACTATTGAAAATCTGTTTTAAAATCAAGCAAGTGAATATCGATCGTGTGACGGCTTGAACCACCGATTCACACATCGGTCGGTTGACTGAGTGGAGCAAACCACCCACGTCAACCCGACTGGCTACCGGAGGAAGCGTTTGTCTGCTAAATTATTAATTTGTTATCAGTTACTATTAGTGTATCAATAGTAGTCATGTCATGATTTTATTAAATTGATGGATATAGCCGTTACTATGTGGTCAACTTGGAGACCAAGATAGTAAACTCCGACCTGGGTAAAAAACAATCATTTTTGGTACAGATATGTAGACGATATTCTTGCCTGTTTCAGAGGTACTACACGACAGCTGAACCAATTTATGACATTCATGAACAACATAGCAACATTCAGTTCACACTCGAAACAGATATAGAGAAACAAATAAATTTCTTAGACCTGGCCATTACACACAATCAGAATAAATTTGAATTCAATGTTTTCAGAAAACCTAGCTATCCTGTTAGTCATAAATTAGCAGCCTACAATTCAATGCTGCACAGAGCATCCTCACTGCCTTTGACTGCAGACAATCTAGCTAGGGAAATTGATACAATTACACAGATAGGTCATAATAACAGTTTCAACGCAGATACTATCCAGAAGTTAGTCAGGAAACAAAGCCGAAAATTCACTCGCAGATTAATATATTCTCAGGTCAAACAACCAGAAATCAAGAAATGGGTAACGCTAACATATTTTGGAAAAAGAACAGAAATTATCGCAGGTTTCTTCAGAAAAAACAATGTGGAAGTAGCATTCAGACCACATGCCAGGTTATCTCATTTTCTTTTCAATGCCAAAGATAAGGTCGACAAGTTGGAAAAATCTGGAGTTTAT